TCAAGTCAATACAGCCATAAATTCAACCACATAAGGGACGAACACATACGTGATACAACCCTCATGCAGCCAACTTATAGATATAGTACCATTTTTTGGTTTTCTGACAATTCTTATCTCTTTAGTAATGAAATTTTGAATATAAAAACTTTATGAAAATCATGAACAATGTAGAAGAACATAGTGCGAGTACAATAGCAGCTGCAGTATATTTTTCACATAAAATCTAGAGAAATTACAATGCAAGATTAGAGTACTTATATTAGACATCAAAGGTGGATAAAGTGGACATCTGTTCAACTAAAGATATGATCCTACGGTTGCAATATATCTAAACTGGAGTTTGTTACACTCCATGCAGATAAGGCTGCATGTAGAGATGTTAAATGGTTCTTGGCCCGACGGGCCGGCCCGTTTAGCCCGAAAAAAACAGGGTTAGGTCCTTTTATTAGTAGCCCGTTTAAATTAGGGCTTTTTAGGCCCAGACCGTTTAGCCGAAGCCCGCTAGGGCTAGCCCGAAACCCGCTAGGGGTGGCCCGTTTAACTAGGGTTGAGCGGTGTAAATGTTTGCATCAAGTAATTCATATGCTCTTAAATTACTTGTATATTACAATTTTGGTATTCCACTCCACATGTAAGTATGAGTTAGAATTATTATGATTTTGAAAGATAATTATTAACAATATTGTTAATGAAATTCATACCAAAATATTTAAGCCAATCTGAACGACTAATAGGAAACACATGAAACATAGTGATGGACGGTAAATACTAAATAACCGTTGAAAATAATTTTTAACTAGTCGTTGTTATTTTTATATATATATATTTTATTCTTCTTATTTTTGATTTTATATATATTATTATTATTATAGCCCGCATAGCCCGTTTAGCCCGAAGCCCGCTAAGGTTAGGGTTAGGTCCCTTCTTTGGTAGCCTGTTTAAATCCGAACTTTTTAGGCCCGGACCGTTTAACCCGAAGCCCGCTAGGGCTAGCCCGAAACCGCTAGGGCTAGCCCGTTTAACATCTCTAGCTGCATGGCAATAAATGCCTTTGTCTCCATGCAATGGCTCATTTTCTTTAGCTGTTGACCAAGGACAGAATGCCGCATTTGCTTCCAAGTCATCCGCCAATTGATCAGGTTTGCTAACACTCCCCCTCAATTCAATCGAGGTATTACTTGTGACTCCCAACTTGTTCCTCAACCGAGAGAAGAATTGCATAGATAATGGTTTAGTTAACACATCTGCTATTTGCTCAACTGAGTGTATATGGCATACTAAAAGGTCACCCTTTTCAATCCTTTCTCTAACAACATGATAATCAAGTTCCATATGTTAAGTTCTGCCATGCATAATTGAGTTTGAAGCTAAGAAGACTGCACTTTGATTATCCACCCACACAACATGAGCCTTTGTTAGTTTAACTCTTCTTTGAACAAGTAAGGAGTCGATCCAAGTTACCTCAGAGGATGCATGAGGCTTTTGTATTCTGCCTCGGTGCTTGATCTAAACACGAAAGTTTGCTTCTTGGAGCACCATGATACCAAGTTTTCTCCAAGAAAAACACAGTAGCCTGTAGTTGATCTTCTATCATCAATGTCTGCCCCTCAATCTGAATTTGAGAAGGCTCTAATGTCAAGAATACTAGACCTTTTGAAGTGCAAACCATGATCTATTGTCCTGCCAAATACCTCAGAACTCTCTTCACAACTTTCCATTGTGTATCCAAGGGGCAAGACATATATTGACTGACCTTGTTCACTGCATAGATTATCTCTGGTCTAGTTAGGGTGATGTACTGCAAAGTTCCTTCCACACTTATGTACAATGTGCCATCAACAGTGGGGTTTCCATCCTCTTTGGACAGGTGAAGAGATGAGATCATTGCTGTTGGAACTCCCTTAGCATCATGCATCTTGATCCCCTTCAGTAGCTCCAATATATATTTCTCCTGACTCAAGTGTAATCCATCAACAGTCTCAATTACCTGAACACCAAGGAAATGCTACCTCTCCAAGGTCCTTGGTAGCAAACATCTTTCCAAAGTTCTTCACAAAGTCTTCTATCTCAGTGTTGTGAGTTCCTGTGACAAGAATGTCATCAACAAATATCAACACAAATAATGAGGCACCTTGGCCGTTTTTGAAAAACAAGGAGCTATCAGCTCTAGAGTCGCTGAACCTCATCAACTTTAGAGCTTCTTTAACTTTGCTAAACCAGGCTCTAAAAGCCTGCTTCAACCCATATAAAGCCTTAGATAATTTGCAGACTAAATGCTCATTTCCCACTTTCTCAAAACAAGGTGGCTGCCTCATGTAGATGACTTCACTGAGGTCTCCATTGAGAATGGCATTGCTCACATCTAACTACCTTATCTTTTATCCTTCTTGTATGGCCAAAGTGAGCATTATCCTTATTGTATTATGTTTCACAACTATACCAAAGGTCTCTGTAAAATCAAAGCCTGGATTTTGTGAGTACCCTTGGGCCACTAGTCTAGTCTTGTGCTTTGATATGCTTCCTTCTGCTCTTCTCTTGATTTTAAACACCCACTTACATCCTACAATATTCTTCCCATCAGGAGGTGTAACTAGGCACCAGGTCTTATTCCTTTCTAAGGCACTTATTTCTTCTTGCATTGTTGCTTTCCACTCTTTCAACAACAGTGCCTGGCTTAAGGATGTTTGCTCTCTTTCCTCTTCTTGTACCAGGTAGGCCTTTGGTTTGTATATCCCTGCTCTAGCTCTTGTTATCATGTGATGTTTGCTTACTTTCTCATCTCTATTTCCGACTTCTATGGATTCTGCAATGTGAGGTAACTGCACCACCAGAGGAATAGCAGGAAGACTACTGGATGAGCTAGTGCTTCATGGAGTGCTTCTTCCTTGACTTGGTATGTTACCTGGTGTACTTGAGGTTGAGTTGGTGTTCTGCCTCAAGTCTTCTCTTGGTTGCATCTTATCTGCATCACTATTCTTGATTAAAGTTGGGGTCCCTGGAAGATTGCAAGCATTATCATTCTTGGGTTTATTTTCTTGATTGGCTGCTTTGTCAGCATAAGGAAACTTAGTTTCATCAAATTGCACATCTCTGGTTATGATAATCTTCCTATTTAGTAATAGCACCCTGTATCCTTTGTACTGGTTGTTGTATCCCAGAAACACACCTGCACAGGATCTATACTCCATCTTATGTTTATTGTAAGGCCTAATGTAAGGGTAACATAGACACCCAAACCTTTCAATCTTTTGTAATCAAGTTTATGACCATAAAGAACTTTTAAGGAAGATTTGAAATTTAATGGCCTGTTGGGTATTCTGTTTAGGATGTAAGTTGCTGTAACAAAGGCATCTCCCCAATAGCATAAAAAGCATATGATAATAAGCCAAGAGAGTGAGACCCATGTTCACAATATCCCTATGCTGTCTCTCAGCCAAACCATTTTGCTGAGGTGTGTAGGCACATGAAATCCTATGAACAATACCATTTTCTTGAAGCGGCTTAGCCAAAGCTTGATATTCTCCTCCATCATCACTCTATAGGGCCTTAATCTTTCTATCAAATTGGTTTTCAGCCAAAGTTTTGAAACTAATAAAGGCATTGATAACATCCGATTTAGCTTTCAACAAATATGTCCAAGTAAATCTTGAATAATGATCTATGAAGCTCACATAATATGCATATCCATTCAAAGCTTTTACATGACAAGGGCTCCAAACATTAGTATGGATTAATTTAAGAGGATAAGAACACATAAATTCATAATGATTAAAAGGAAGTGAGTGACTTTTTGCCATCATGCAGGAACCACATAAAGTGTCATCATCCTTGGATTTATAATCCAAATTACACAACCTTATAACTCTTTTAACATTCTCGTAATTAGCATGACCAAGTCTTTGATGCCATTGTTCAAGGCTATTACATTCACCAACTTTGAAAAATAAGAAAAAGGATGTAAGCCAAGTACTTACTGATCTTCTTGAGTAGACTGAGAAGACAAAAACTGAGGTTGCTCGTTCTTCAAACACTGCAAGTTGAAGTGGTATAATCCATCCATAAGAACTCCCTTGAGCAGGACCTCTTGAGTTTCCTGGTCCTTTACAAAACAAAAGCTTGGATAAAATTCAAAAAATACTTTATTGTCCTTTTCAAACTGAGATACACTCAGTAGGTTTCTACTGATCTTAGGCACAAGTAATAAATTTTTCAGAACATAAACTTTTGAGTGATTGGGATGCTGAATGAAAGAGTTACCAAAGTGTGAAATAGTTGCTGCCTCTCTTTTTCCCATTAAGAGCTTGTTGTTTCCACTGTACTCAGCTGCAATATTGAGATTCTCAAGCTCATTTGTGACATGGTTAGAGGCCCCTATGTTAGATAACCAGCTTGTTTCTGAGCCAACATCAGAGTAGGTGTTTGTGCCATGGATTTACACCATATTCTGACTGGGGTTTCTTCTTTGAGGCTGCTGATTTTGATTTCCACTTTGGTTGGCAGGTGTTGTGTCATACATATACCAACATTTATCTGCTGTGTGATTCATCCATTGACATATTTGACATTGTAGCCTATTTCCTCCATTCCTTCCACGACCTCTACCTCTATAAGAGCCTCTTCCTCCTCTTCCACCTTGAAAATTGTTTCTGTTTCCCAAGAACAGATTGAAGTTCTGAGTGTAGCTCCTCTGAGGGTTATGTGTCACCATATTTGCATAGGGTTGTGATCCCTCTGAGCTTACAACTGAGCCTTGATTCATTTCCAGCCTAGATTCACAAGTTAGCAACAATGCATGGACTTCAACCATGGTGTGAGGAAGAAACCTTGAAGTGACATTTACCACCACTGAGTCATACTCAGATCCCAAACCAATTAAAACATGAAGAATCTAGTTTTTTTCTGACACCCTTTCACCAACAATAGCTAAGATATCACAGTGATTTTTGATCTTGTTGAGGTACTCCCTTATAGATAAGCCAACCTTTTTCATGGTTTTAAGTTTCAGCTTATATTGCATTATTCTAGCTGAAGATTTGCTTGCAGAGTTGTTCTCAATGGCTTCTCATATTTCTTGGGCAGTGTTAAGACCAACCATCATCACCAAGTTTCCATCACTAAGAGAGGACATAAGCCAAGAAGCCAAAAGCTGGTCTTGCATGACCCAATGAAGGTAATCTGGGTTTACCTGAGTTTTATTAGATTGTGGATCTGTGATTATCTTCTCTGGTTTTTTAGTCTCTTCATTGATGTACCCTTCAACTCCATAACCTTGAATGGCAGTGATGACTTGTTCTTTCTATTCGCCTATATTATTAAAGCAAGTGTACGGCTTCGCTCGTAGTATGTGGCAAGTGTTTGTCCCATTTTTGTGTCTTTATTTTCGCTTTATTTTCT